GCGGTCTGGTGGTTTAATTCTGGTCAAAACCAATGGTGCCATTTTGGGGTAGGTGAATTCACCATTATAGAACCTATTTTAGTGGTTGGATTGGTTGATAGTTCACTGCAAGTACGATTTGGATGTTGACCCATACCCATATCCTCTCGGCCCTTTCTAAGCCTCTCGCTCCTCTGCAGCAGCATGTGCCGCTTCACTGGCGCAGCATCCTGGCAACAGCTCGCAGCTTGCTGAGCGAAGAGCGGAGCTGCGAGCAAAAGCTGCGGGAATCCCAAATTCCTAGCGTTCTGTCCCCGAATGAAAGCTAGGTGCTCACGAGTTTTGATGTGGATTGCTGCATTTGCATGTCATTCCAGACAGAAGAACGTCTGTGTTTGTGGAGATTTGCAAATGAAAATGGATGGACAAACAGATTTTTCTCCGGACTCTTGCTGGTTTGGATTTTCACATAGGAGGCAGCTGGCCAAAGTTGCAGGATCGCAGTCAGTCGCTTAAGTCTTGGCAACTGACCATGCAACATAGGGGCATATGAGTGCAATGTGTTTTGCTTGCACCATGCAGCCTGAACTCCGGTACGGGCGTTTACAATTTTAGCATTGGTGCAGTAGTGCTCTAGTATGAAATGAGAAATGTGCCTCGATCAAGCGTTACTTCTGAGCTTACTAGCAGCATTCCTGACTGTAGTTTAGAATAGGTTCTGTATTGCTTGCTTTCTTTGTATTCCTAGTCTGTCACAGTAAAGTAGTCCTTCAGCAGTTCCTAGTAGCCCGGTCTATATAGCCATAGCATCGGTTCAATATGCATGACTGTTTCTATGCACTTTTGCAAGTTTACTCTGCACGGGTCCAACTTGTTCACTTGCTTGTCTTTATTTCTTTTCTGGGGCAAAGTGAAGAGTAAAAGAAAAACATGTTTTGCAGATGTTGTTTTTATTGCTTATGGGTCCTAAGGTGCTGTTGTTTATTATGAGCTTCATGTTTTACTCGTTGCTGGCAGAAAGCAACAGGTGAAACTGTCAAACGCAAGCAAAGTGTTTTTGGATGCAGGGTGCTTTGCCTGTTGTAGCGCGCTTTGCCTGTTCTGACTTCACTGGCTCTATAAGGCGGAAAGAGCTGGCTTCCGGGGGCCTACCATAAAAACATACAAACATACATGCATGCATGCATACATTCAAACATGCATTACATGCATTACATACATTACACTACACTTCATTACACTACATTACATTACATTACATTATATTACATTATATTACATTAAAGACATTTGTGAAGAACATGCGCAGTTGCGAACAAGGATCGCACAGCCGGAGAACGGCCAAAAAAGAAGCGGGGCGTTAAGCAACACTCTGTGGTGCGCGATTACAAACAAGGATCGCAAAGCCGAACAACGGCCCCATAGAGAAGCTGGGCCATCAAAAACCAGAAAAAACGTCCAGAAGCGAGCCTATTAAAAGACACTGTTTGAAGAACATGCGTTACCAGCAAGGACGCGAAGCCGAAACAAACCTATTTTAGAAGAACCTGCGCGATTACGAGTCATTGAGAGGCAGATTGGTGTATGAGGAACGTGCGCAATCCACCCTTTGAAGAACGTGCGCGATTGAGAACAAGGATCGCAAAGCCGAAAAACGCCCCAAAATAAAAGCGGGGCCAACAACCGACACACCAGGAAGAACGCGCGGGATTAGGAACAAGGATCATTGAAGGACACTCTGTGAAGAACGTGTGCGATTACGAACAAGGATCGCAAATACGGCCCGATAAAGAAGCTGGGCCATCAAGAAGACACTATATGAAAAGCGCGCGCGATTACAAACAAGGATCGCAAAACCGCGGAGGAAAACAAACATAACCAAGCGAGGCCAATACAAGAAATTTCAAAAGAAACGTGAGCGATTAGGAAAAAAGATCGCCACGCCACACAACAGCCCAGCAAAGAAGCTGGGTCGTTCAAGGACGCTCTATGAAGAACGTGCGCGATTACGAACAAAGATCGCGAAACCAAAAAAAAAGAGAGAAATGGGGCCATTAGACGACTCTTTTTCAAAAAACGTGCGCGATTTCAAACAAGCCAAACAACGGCCGTACAGAGAAACGGGGTCAGTAAGAGACACTCCAAGAAGAACGTGCCAAATTACGAACAAAGATCGCCACATCGGGCAACGGCACATTAAACGGCACTTTACAAAGAACATGCGCAATAACGAACACGGATCGCCACGCCGAACAACGGCTCATCAAAGGACACTCTGTGAAGAACGTGCGCGATTCAGGATCGCAAAGCCTACAAAGAAGCGAGTTCATTAAAGGAGGGAGAACGTGCGCAATTACGCCACGCCGAACAACAGCTCATGTAGAACATTCCAAGAAGACCATGCACAAGTACGAACAAGGAAGCCAAAGCCGACAAGGAAAGTGCGGTCGTCAAAGGACACTCCAGAAACAAGGCGAACGATTATGACTACGAAACATGCATTGCATGCATTCATTACATACATACGTACATACATACATACATACATACATACATGCATACATACATGCATGCATGCATGCATACATACATACATACATACATTACATACATACATACACACACACATACACATACATTACATACATACATTACATTACATGCATTACATTACATTACATTACATTACATCACATTGCATTACATTACATTACATTGCATTGCATTGCATTACATACATACATACATTGCATTACATTACATTACATACATACATGCATAACATAACATTACATTACATTGCATTGCATTGCATTACATTACATTACATTACATACATACATACATACATACATACATACATTACATTACTCACATTACATTACATTACATTACATTACGTTGCATTGCATTGCATTACATTACATTACATTGCATACCATACATACATACATTACATTGCATTACATTACATTACATTACATTACATTACATTACATTACACTACATTACATTACATTACATTACATTACATTACATACATACATTACATACATACATACATACATACATACATGACATTACATTACATTACATTACATTACATTACATTACATTACATTTACATTACATTACATTACATTACACTACATTACATTACATTACATACATACATTACATACATACATACATACATACATACATACATTACATTACATTACATTACATTACATTACATTACATTACATTACATTTACATTACATTACATTACATTACACTACATACATACATACATTACATACATTACATACATTACATACATTACATACGTACATACATACATACATACATACATACATACATACATACATACATTACATACATACATACATACATACATACATACATACATACATACATACATACATACATACATACATACATACATACATACATACATACATACATACATACATACATACATACATACATACATACATACATACATACATACATACATACATACATACATACATACATACATACATACATACATACATACATACATACATACATACATACATACATACATACATACATACATTACATACATACATACATACATACATGCATTTTCATTTACATGTACATTTACATTCACACTACATTACATTACATTACATTAAATACCATACATACCATACATACATACATTATATTACATTACATTACATTACATTACATTACATACATACATACATTACATACATACATACATACTTACATACCTTACATTACATTACATTACATTACATTACATTACATTACATTACATTACATTACATTACATTACATACATACATACATACATACATACATACATACATACATTGCATTACATACATACATGCATACATACATGCATACATAGCGTTACGTTACGTTACGTTCCGTTACATTACATTACATTAAGTACATACATACATACCATACATACCATACATACCATACATACATACATACATACATACATTACATTACAATACATTACATGACATTACATTACATTACATTACATTACACTACATACATACCATACATACCATACATACATTACATTACATTACATTACAATATATTACATGTGCATTTTCATTTACATTTACATTCACACTACATTACATTACATTACATTACGGTACGTTACGTTACATTACATTGCATTTGCATTTGCATTTAAATTTACATTTACATTCACACTACATTCACACTACATTACATTACATTTTCATTACATTACGTTACATTACATTACATTACATTACATTAAAATTTCCTACATTACATTCCATTATATTATATTACATTACATTACATACGTACATACGTACACAATTACATACATACATAAATATGTCAACAGACAGAAAGAAAACATATAGCCTCAAATGCATATCATCTCCTGCCCTATCGAACCTCCGATGCAAAAAGTCCCGCAAATCGCGGCAGCCGGGCCCATCGAATGGAACGCCCTGCCAGTAGCCTGGCGGGAAACACGGGACGTTTTGTGACGCCCTCAGACCTGAGACCTCCTCTCTCTCTGGGCAACAGTTGCAGGCACCTGCGGAACCGGGCCCCGTGGTTTGCGGCTATTGTAGCCACAGATCTCAAAAAGAACTGCGGACGGCCAGATTGGTCAAGGGCGCCGAAGCTCAACGACTCGACGCCGCAAGAGTCACTGGAGCTGCTCTCCGCATTTTGCGCTTCATCCTACCTTCCGGCACGTGACTCTGAAAACAGACGACCGCATCTATGTACAGGTCGTCAGGGCAAGTTTTGGCATGACGGACATTTGCCTTGGCAGTAATCAAGGTATCCTTGGCAAGAGAATACCTTGGTCATGTGAACCCACCGGCAATATGACATGTTCCACAAACAGACATGGGAAGATTTGGTGTTTGCCTGGACTTCAAGGGGAAATCAGGAAACCGCCCCGTGTCCTTCTACAGCTCTCATGAAACATCGCTATGTCTTCATGCCAACCTAGAGATGGCAGGGGCGTTCAATTCACACCCTCTGCGCGCTTTGGATCGCAGGAATGGCAAGACATGTCTGCGGCCAAGAGCGAAACCAAAGCGACGCCATGTCACCTCAAAGTCTTCAGAGATAAGCATTTGCCGGCATCTGACACTTGCACTGGACCTCTTGTAGTGAAGCCCGGAAGACTGCCTGTGGCTTGGCCATCAAGCATAGGTCTCTACCAATGAGAAAAGAACGACGCGCTCGTTCGCAGCGGCCGAGTGTCCTCGCTCACTGAATCACTCTGTGCGCCCGTGCCGCGCCCGCGGCCTTGCACGTGCCCGAGATTTGTGCGATACTTCAAAGCAAAGCGCGATGTAAAGCTGAGCCCTGAACAAACCCCAACATTACCCACCGCCACGAGCAGAGAGTGCTGGTGTCAAGGTACCCTGTTCAAACAGGTAGGTTCAGGGAAACCGCTGGAGACAAAAAGGGCCATGAGCCGTGCCCGAAGCCATTGACGTTGGCCGTGGGGCTTCTCAAGCCCCGTCCAACGCGGAGACCGCGCCTGGCTTCCACCGTGGCCGGCCGAGAGGTGCGCGCCGTCATGGGCGCTGCGATCGGCCGGGTGGTGGCTGGAGCGGTTCCCAGCCGGTCCTGAAAAGCTCAGGAGCGCAAAACCGCGGCGAAGGCGACGTAAGCAGGTGGTCATTGTCAACAGGCTGCCACGACATCTTGGGACACCGCCTGTGTCCTGATGATTCGCTTAGAAAGACTGCGAGCAGGAATTGCAGGTGGTGCCAGGGTGGCCATTCGGGCGTCGATTTGCCCCTCTAAAAGTTATGGCTCTTGCGACAAGGGTCCGGCGCTTTGCCATAACTCTGACACTGTGAACGCCGGACTCTGCAACCTGCCTGGGCCACGTGCTGCAGGATCCTGAACTAAGTCACATTCAAAGTCCAACCCCCCCAACCCCAACCATGCCAGCAAGACATCTTTGGCAGCTTGGCGGGCATGGTGGGCATGGTGACTTGCACCGAGGCCAGGTTGGGTGCAGCCTTGGCCCCCCTCTGGATGAGATTCTTTCCCAAGATGACACCCCTAGGAATCACTTCAGACAAGCGGCAGTCTTGGAGCTCAAATCTTCCAACTTCGCCTTGAAGGATTCGATTGGCTGTGTGGCGCTTGCTATCTCCACGGGTCAGGCGTGCCTGCACTTGTCTGAGCTCCTTGAGGTACTCCCCCCGGATCTGGTCGAAGCGGCTGTCAAAGGTCTGCGCCGTGTGAAGAAAAAACTCCCTAGGCCGTGTGAAGAAAACTCCCTAGGCCCAGTGTTTGTCTCTTCACTTTCAGAGATAAGCCAGACCTGGGTGATCCAGTGTGCAGCAAGCCAAAAGTAAGAACCCCGACTCAACGAACCCCAGCCAATTCGGAATGTGGGAACCAAACAGTTGCAGCCAACAAGGGAATGCCGAACAATAATCCGCCAAAACAGTCACGAACCCAGAAGCGTGCGACATCTCCATCGACTTACACATGACTGCCCCATTTATCACTTCAATACAAATTTGTCTTCCCCGCAAAAGGCCGGCATCGAACACACGCGCGCGTGCGCCGCAGGTTTTTGAAGGGGGGCATGGTCCAAAGTCTCATGGCTCGCGCAAGCCACTCGCCCTTTCGCATGGCCTCCTTTGTGATCCACTTGCTCCCGGCCACCAGCTGCCGTGCCGCAGCAGCCACCATGACCTGAGCCAACTCCCGAGGCTCGGCTCACAGCTCAGCGGGTCCGTCCTATCGGTTTTGCCCATGGCTGGTATGGCAAGAGAATTTCTGGGAAGCGATGTGGCGACACAAGCCATACTGCGCAACGAGCCGCGGCATTTTGCGGATGTGCGCTTGATTGCGATGACTGGTATTTGAACTGGTCTTGACTGAGACGTGCTTCAAGCATCCTCTCGCCCAAGCTGTGTCACGCAGCTTGGCACCAAACCTGCAACTGCAGAATTCTTGTGCGGCTGCACTGCCGCGCCCCCCAGCATTGACGTTGCAATGCGTGTAAAACGTCCTGCTCTCAGACCTGCTTGGTCCAAACAACCCCGTTGTTCCAGGTGATCTTGTTTCCATCCATCTTACCCTTGAAGCCAAAGTAGTCCAGGCCGTCTCCTTGGCAAAACTTCCTCACCTCCAGCGTCTGCTTCCCCACGGTGGGATGGTTGATGATCACCGACTGCCCAGAGGAGTCCACGGCGATGTCTATCTCGCCACCCGAGCTGTGGGCCCACTTGCCTTGCGTCTGATACGGGGAGATGGTCGACATGGCTGCGACCCATGCGGCAGCCACAGACTTGGGCCCAGCAACAAAGAGATGGATGGGGCTGAAATGCAAGCAACTGCAACAAAATCAGGGGTGCCAGAAACCGCCTTCAAAATGTGCTCTCAGTGGGGCTCGGCCCCAATAACATTTGAGTGCAGGATAATCCAATGGCCCTGCGCAGATATGAGCATCAAAAGCAACAAAGCCTATGCATGTTGACCAACAGGCAGACTGGTTCTGCTCACCGGGAAGGAATTCTCCAGCGACTCAGCGAACTGGACTCGAAGCGGCGCCTGCACCCTGTTCAACGACAGCGCAGTGCCCTGGCAAGGGGCTCGGGCAAAGCATGCATCGCGCATGGAGCAAGCGACACCCGTGGCTGTGGCTCAAATCAATGTGCCAAAATGGCACCTTGGTAAATGGAACCAAAGACTAAAACCCGCGAAAATAACTCTGGCTCGGAAAAGAATTGAGCCACAGCCATGTCTCCATATCCTGGACACAGCTCGACTCAGAGCTCGCAGGCCTCGTCATCCATGCCTTCCATGCCGCTGCTCTGCACAAAGACGTGAAGCCGGCTCGCCAGCTCCAAGTTCTGCTGGCCCTGCGCCATAACTGGCAGAAGAGGTGTGGGTCAAAGAAAACCATCAAGGTAACTTTACTGCGCGATCTAGCACCATATCAATGGATCCCACCTCTTCACAAATGGCGCTCGCCATTTCAGTGCATGCAATGTTTTAGCATCCAGCCTGCCAAATACGCGCCTTTTGCCACAAAGCAAAAGTCTTACAAGACGTCCCGCCATCCTGGACAGCTTACGGATACTGTACTGGCTTTGCACAGCTCCACCGTTCTGGCCCAGCTGGAGCCCTGATTTCTGGTACCACTTCTTCCTTGGTTGCCCACTTCATCCACATATCGCATCTCTTTATCTCTGGAACCCACACATTACTGCCAGACAATCGGCCGCCCCAGTTCACCCGTCCAAATATATCCGGATCCTTTCGGAACCTTTTTATTTCCTCTGGTTTCTGTGCCCAATCTGAAAACTTTACAGTGAAAGACCTCTAGGCTATCATTGTTGACGGAGAAACCTTGAAGCGGATACGCGGCCGAGCTGAAGCTACACCCTTGCCTTGCGTCCCAAAGCGGGATCGCACATCGGATTTCCCGAGTGCATTGCACGCTGGCAGGAAGAGAACACGGAGCAAACAGCTCAAGCCCCATGTTTTGCACTCAACGATGTGGATTAGAAGGCAACGTTTCCGACTTCGCTCCGACTCCCTCCCCAATTCCCATCGACTAGGTGAAACTGGGCTCGGAGATGGGCAGCCGTAACCATGACATGCTCGCAAACCACTACACCCCAGCAAACGCAATCCAAGCATGCGGCTGTCTACCATCAACCAGGCCCTATGCATACACATGGGCAGTCCCAGCGGAATGCTCAGCCGTCAACACCTCTTATTTGAGTGCAGCAAAATCGGATCTCGCTCGGGTACCTTGGCCGAAGCCCTTCACCTGACTTGTCTGCGTCGTTTTGGTGTTCGTTGTCAAATCAATCAACACCGTCAACTCAGTTGTTCAGTGACCCCGGAAAAAAAAGGGAACCCTTTTGGGGAAGACCATGTTTAGTGGGGCAGCCACTAAAAAAAACGGAAAAAGGGTGCCCCTGAAAGTGAGTCAAATAGTGCCCAACTCCACTCATGGGTCCCTTCGCTGCAGCATTCCAGTCTGGGCCGTAGCATCCGACAAACTAAGGAGTCAGTCAGCATGAGGGTTGCTGTGCCAGCAAGCGCTGCTGAAGAGGGGCCTTGCGCGGAGGCAGAGTGCCCAACAGCTCCAAGAGGAGAACTAATATGGCTCCCACAAGAAGAATCTGTCTGATTCTCACAATGATCCTTGTGTTGCTAGTCATCCTTAATCTCAAACGACCAAATCGCGCTCCATCTGTTTGGTGGTGTGTGCGGACCATTCAAACTTCCTGACAGGCGGGACATGCCAACCTGTCTCGCACAGAGCCTTTCACGCATGGACTCATGGATGGAAGATCTGAATGGAATCTACAAAGGAAGCTGCTCTGTTTCCAAAAAACAATAAGGAATTAGGAACAGTCCAACCATCACGCACATCCTCTCTGCTGATAGCAGCCCAATTGTCCAGCGCTGTTCTGAGAACTTGTCTGGGCCAACCCACGAAAGCGCAGGATTCCGGCTGGAAATGGAATGCCCCTGCAAAGTCGACAATAAAGGATTGATCCATCTGGCCATGGGTCAAAATCCCGTACCCCCAGTGAACATCCCAATCCCCCCTAAATTGACTAAAATGGGTGGTGCACCTACCCAAAATGGTACCATTGGTTTTGACCCACGGCCATCTGGGACCCACCCGAAAAAAGGCCATCCCTCGCTCGCCATATTTGGCCCCAGTGCAAGGACCGGGCCACTCGCTCGCGCACCCGCTGGATAAGCTCCTCCTGGCTGTGAACAAATTCGCCACTGAGTCACATATGGGGTGGCCCAACAAGTGTTCCTGGCGTCTAGTTTTCATTGGGAACGCGGACCAGCGCAACCCGAACCCTTCAAACTGGACCGGTCCGTATTGACCCTGGTTGGATGGCACACATGAGATCGCCAGCATCAACTGCCAAGCAAGCATCCTTTCGATTGAGCAGTACACACGGCAAGACAAAATTGCGAAACCTCCCTGCAAGCCCGCCTGGTCTTGGATCAGGGTCGTCTTGTCCCTCTCCAGGGCTTGGACCATCTCCTGCAGCTCCTGACGAGTCGGGCGCCGATTGGAGAGCGGCCCAAAACCTGTCGCCAAATGTACTACCATCTGCACCGCGCCTGGTTCTCCTTCTCAGCGGTGCGCAGGGCCTTCACTGAAAGGAACCGACGGAGTTTCGCAGCTTCGTTCATCCGATCAATGCAAAATGGTCCGCAGGATCAGAGCCAACTTGAATTGAGCTGGGTTCCCAATCTTTCCCAGCATCGCACACAATAGAATCAACGAGTACTCTCGCTCTCTCATTCTCTCTCCATCTCTCTCTCTCTCTCTCTCCCTTCTTGCCCTGACTGCCTCGGCCGCGTGCCCCTCCTGCTGACCTTGCCGCAAGGCGCGCATGTCGAGTCCCAGCGTCAAAGCCACACAAGCGGCAAGCAAAAGCCAGGCAAGCGGGCTGAGGCTTCCACTGGGACGCGCCGGGCCTGAAGCTCACGAGAAACCAGCCCGAAACAATGTGCGCGGGCTCACTGCGCGCGCTCCGCGCTGTTCCGATAGACTCCAACTTCTCGCAACGGACTTCGGGCAACGCCAGGCACGGCTGTCCGCAGGCCGACGTGTCGCTCCTTGCTGCCATAGGGCCAGGCGCTGTGAGACGAGATCGTTCCATCTGGATTGCAACATTTTACTACACGCTACGCAAACAACCGCAACGGCGTAGCGCGGGCGTGCTTCAACAGTGCGAATCGACTTCGCGTCGCAGAAGCGAAGCTGAGGGAGAACAAACATGCCGAAAAAATAGAACACAGGGACTCAGCCAGTTCGTCAAACTAGCGTCTTCGCCCGTTCACGCGTGCCAGGTTTGGCTGCGCTTGCTGCAGTCGCAGCCCTGCCGCGGAGGCTAAAGTCCTCCAAGCCCCCACTGCTCCAGAGTAAGGCCCATGCTCCAAAGCAGCTCGGCTCCTGCAGCGCGCCGCTGGCCTGGCGCGTGCGCCGCCCGTGCCAGAAAGCCATGGCAGCAACATCGCCACGGAGAGCACTCTGCTCGCGCGTCACGTCGAAGATAGAACCCGCAAGACCTGACCCACCTGCATGGCTTGCCGCAACTCACTGCGCCCTCCGCTAGCCCCTCGCAAGTTCGCAGAAGCTCTGCAGCCACGTAGGTCTGGGGGGCAGGTGTTGGTCCTCGCAGTGGACCTTCAGCGCTCCAAGGCCCCCAGCGAAGCGCAGCTCGACTCATTGTTGACCACGTCCGCTCAGCCGTTCGCCCGGTCCTGCACGACGAGTGCCCATCGCCATTTCCGCTCCGCGGCGCAATCAACGTCCTCGCATTACATGTCACGATCCGCTCAGCCGCAGCCCGCTCGACATGTCTGCCTGCTCGACACGCCTATCAGCCCACTCGACATGTCCGCTCAGCAGCCTGCTCGGTACGCAGCGCACCGCTCTACATTGCGTTCAGCAGACAGAAGCATACGTGCTCAGCAGCCTTGACCTATTCTGCCTGCTCCGTACCCCATTTGGCCTGTCCTGTCCGCTCACCAACCCTCTCGACATGTCCGCTCAGCAGCGCTTCCGACGTCTCCTGCCTGCAATTGCAAGAAAAATAACACGCCAGTCTGGTTGATTCAGCCACACGGCGTGTGCTTCAGAGAGACCTGCCTGTGGAAGACACAAACTGAACAACGCCATGACGCGCCATCGTGAACTCTTCATGCCATGTTGCAAACTTGGCGGCACGTGGGTTGCCCGCCATCGTGGGTTTGGACATTGTAAACACCTTCACGACCGGAAAAAAACGTGTGTGCAACCAACTGGCGACACAGCTTCTGCTGGAACTAGCAAGCAAGATCTACACTCAGTCCGACAACGCAGAAGCCTGCCAGCAATTTAATCCCAACGTGCGCAACATGCCTCGCTGCCTACTGCAAAAACTTATGGCTGCGCGGTGTTCTTCTCCTTGTATCTCGTTGAAAAAACTCGCGCGCCGACACTGCGCCGGTGGCCATGCAACGGGTCTACTTTGCGTTTCTCTCTTGCAGGCCCACGCGCCCGTCTGACGGACGCGATGCGGGGGGCCCAAAAACCTTGATAGCAGCACGCCATGGGCTTGAAAAGTGTCGGCGGTTTTCTCACAACTTGCGCCGATCCTGCCGATTCTTTTTGTCGATTGTCGCCAGCGAACATGTGAACTGTATCAAGAGGATCTCAGCACCCGGGCGGTGAAGGTCCTCGATGAGGTTCAGCAGGCGAGGCCTTTGCGGCTGTCGGGTGGCGCGTACGTTTATCTGGCTGGGAAGGTCCAGGAAACGTTCAAATGTGTCTGTCTGTGAGTCTGGGTGTGCGTGTGTGTGTGTGTGTGAAGTCTTTGTCTGTACATCATTGCACATGCCAAATACGGCTTCTGACTTCACCAATTGTAGATCTTCGATTCACCCCGACTTGTGCCTGGTCTGCAACCACATCGATCTGTCCTAGCGAGACTCTCCATCCCCAAGCAGCCAAAAAGTAAACACGCTTCCCTCGCGCAAAGCACTGGCTTTGACACGTTCTGACTCACCTGCCGGGGGGGGGGCGGATTTTTTTTCCTACACGTGGGATCCCCTGCATTACCACAGGTCAGGTTCCAAAAGGCGTCTTGGGCTGTTTGCGAAGGCCTCGAGGCCTCGGACGTCTGAAAACTCAGGCCTCGGAGAGCACCGCGTGCGCGGCCCGCGCCACGGCCAGCTCCTCCTTGGCAATGCCTCGCACTTTTGGGGACACGAACGGGACACGGAAACACTGGGAACACGGAAACACCAGGAACACCAGCAGAACACTCGTCGTTTGGCGCTTTTGGTGGTGTCTCGGTGTTTGTTGGCGTCCAGCTGGTGTTGTGAC